CCCCCCCGTCGCCCCCCGCCCGCCCGTCGCCCCGCGCCCCCCCGTCGACCCCCGCCGCCTTCCAGTGGCTCCCGGCGCCGGCCACCACCCGGCACCCGCTGCAGCCGCCGTACCCGCGGCCGTACCGCTTCCTGCTCAACGAGCCCCACAAGTGCCGCGGCCCGCGGCCGCCGTTCCTGGTGCTGCTGGTGGCCTCGCGGCCGTCGGACGCGGAGGGCCGCGCCGCCATCCGCCGCACGTGGGGCTCGGAGCTGGCGGTGCCCGGCGTCCCGCTGGTGCGGCTGTTCCTCACCGGCGTGCACCCGGTGTTCGGCGCGGAGCTGGGGCGGCTGCTGGCGGAGGAGAGCGGCGCGCACCGCGACGTGCTGCAGCAGGACTTCGTGGACACGTACCACAACCTGACCCTCAAGACGCTGATGGGGCTGCAGTGGGTGGCCCGCCACTGCCCCGCCGCCCGCTACGTGCTCAAGGCCGACTCCGACGTCTTCCTCAACGTCCCCTTCCTGGTGCGCCGCATCCTGCGGCCCGGCCGCCCCCCGCGCCGCCGCTTCGCCCTCGGCCACGTCTACCGCGGCACCGGGCCGCTGCGGAACCCCCGCATCAAGTGGTTCGTGCCGCGCCAGGTCTACCCGCACCGCTCCTACCCGCCGTACTGCGCCGGCCCCGCATACGTGCTGTCCGGCGACGTCGCCGTGGCGGCGTTCGGCGCGGCGCAGGAGCTGCCGCTGCTCAACATGGAGGACGCCTTCGTGGGGCTCTGCCTGCGCTCCCTGGGGGTCGCGGTCACCGACGGCCCCCCCGGCGCCTTCAACGTGGTGCGGCTGCCCTACGAGCGCTGCCGCTTCGGCCGCGCCGTCGTGGTTCATCGCTACGAGCCGCGGGAGGTGCTGAGGATCTGGCCGGACTTCACGGCTGAGAACGGGACGTGTCCGCCGTGGGGGGGGTGGGACGGGTAGGGGCACCGGGGGACCCGGAGGGACGGGGGGGGACCCGGAGGGGGGGTTGGAGCCGTGAGGATGGAGTGGGACCCATAGGGACAGAGTGGGACCCATAGGG